TGAAACTCTTTAAAGGCTCACTTATCGGAATCTCGATAACACCCGTGGGAGCAAGTGCAGGACGGCAAAGAGAAAGAAAGTGCAAACTTCCTTAAGGTTTCTTGGCAAATTTCATTCCGGAAAGTTCACATCACTCCCTTTCTCTTGAACGCGTACGGCTGCAGTAAATTAAATGTTAACAAACCTACAAAAGCGAACGCGCGTCGTTGATTTTTCGAGAAAAAAATTTCTCTTTTATGTATTATATATATAAAACTAATTGGAAAAATTACAAACGCCCTGCAATTAAGTCGAGAAAATTGTGAGTTGGAAAGATTCTTCCGCTGTTGGTGTTGTTTTCTTGTTGGTGCGGTTTTTCTCTCTAGTTTTGCGACGAGGGATAGAATCTTTATTTAATTTTTATTTATGCTAATGGAAGCGATATAAGCTTCGCTCGTTAAAGGATGGCATATCTTTTGCGAATTACCAGTTACAGCGTAAATTGAGTGAACTGTTATTTTGTGCGTGTACTGGTGTGCGTTATGCTATTAGCGTCTATTCTCTTCCCGGTCAATGCTCTAACCGATCCAGCGGCGGTTAGAGCAAATCGAAGTGAACCACGGGAAATGAACGGGTCGCTGCTCTACGGGCAGAAAGTCGATTGGCTGCGTGCCAACCACGTGCTGATAAAGAGATTACAAACAGGAGCCACGCTTTTGTAACGCGCGAGACCAGAAGCGAACAAGTTGTCGGCGATTTTGCGCGGACAATTGCGCATATTTGATTTTTAAGTGTCTATAAATCTTCGCGTTGATCGTTCGAAATTTCTAAACGGAGTGTCGGCGTCTTATTTCTCTTTCTCGATAGTTTTCAACGCTCAGCGGGCGCTGCTTTTAGCAACTTGCGTAACTTTTTGCTCATGCATAATCGATGTTCTCATTAAAATGGTGATTGCATTTAAGAGGATTTGTTTGCTTTCTCGTCTCGGAATTTAAAAAAGTTAAAGATTAATTGCTGCGCAGATGTTTTATCTAAAGGAGGAAAATAGCGATATTTTCCTACGCGCAAGTATAAACACAATAACAAGGAAAGGATTAAAGATAATTTTTTCCTTATTTTGCACTTATTCATATTTCATAATGCATTTAACTTTTTTAAATATGTTTAGATAAACTTATTTGTAACAGATTAAACTTTACATAACTTTTTTTATTTAGAAATAAAAGATATATTGTTGAATGTTATTTTCTGAAGAATCCACGAAATTACTCAACTGCTCTTGACAAATTGGTAGGGAATTAAGGTGATAAGTAAGCAGCTGATTGAATCTCGAAGCAGCTTTTGCAGCTCGAATCTTATCATCTTTCATCGTGACATGCGTAGAACGCAAAGAAAATTGGCTCGATAGTTTACATGTCTCCTCTTTTGACGAACGGTCGGCTCAATAGGCAGATTCGCTTGACAGATGGACACGATCCCAATTTTGTATCGAGGACACATGGCATCTTTCAAAGGTGTCTCGGATTTACGTATTTGTATATTCAACGAGAAACCGCGTCTCATCAAAATATGTAAATATGTCAAACGTAACTCTATTGTTTTGACCACTTGTATTATCTTATCATTTGTATCATATTGTTGAGATACAATCGCATTTTCTGGGGATGAACAAAATGATATGGGCAAAATTTGAAGATGTTATTCTTGCTTTCTATTTTATGATATTTATGCAAAACCTATTTTGTCAAATTTCGGCTAATACGAATTCAGCTAATACGAATACGTTTTCAGATTTTAAAAATAGGAACTAAAGCTATATACATGGTTTATTTTTTGGCTTCCTTATTTTCTAGACAAATTGGACGTTGAAATATGTGAGATTCGTATGTTTGGTAAAAGTGCCTTGTTATCGTCTGTCTTTTCGACGACCATTTGCATAGTGATTACCGAGCGACCCGGTGATTTTTTCTCCCGGGCAGCTCAGCGCGGTACCCATTGAGCGCGAAAGCACGTGGTTGGTCGCGCGCCAGTGCACAGTTATGTTTATAACAACGTATGACGGATTCCCGTGGCATTCCGCCTCGTAACGGCGATACTATGTGCGAGCTATAAAACATTCGTGACGACGGAGATCTTGGACGCGACGCGTCGGATATTCCGCGGAGTCTCTCTCGGAACTCCGCTTGGCCGTCCGCCCAAGCGGATTCTTACCGCGCTCTTGTATTCTTTTTCGGCGACTGCCGGTTCAGCCGCATTTCACAAGTCATGGACGCGACGAAGAATTAATGAGCGATCGCCAGTAATAAATCATTAGGCACGGCATCCGAATTTCTCGCTCGCGAGTCCGCGTAACACGCTGGATGTGTATCGTTCCGGCTAAACGCTTCTCTTACCGCGTTTAACAGTCTACTGAAAGTATCTCAACCCATTCCATGAGCGTGTCAGAGCAAACAGAAAACAGGTGCGAAATAGATCAGAAAAAAGTGTAATTATACAATATTAATTAAAGAAGATTGGAGAGGGAGGGTAAAAATTTAATTAGAGTCGCACACTCAAAAACTATATATTCTTTTTCATGCAATTAGTTAACTGATGATAGCTTGATGTTCTGTTGAACATGATACTTTTAATTAATATTACACATTTTTATCCACGTTGCGTTATTCACAACGTTCGTAATTGTTAGCTGGCGATAGGAAAAATAGCATTCATTAAGCTGCGCGTTTTCATTACAACTTCGTTATTTATCGAAACATCTCCGCGCATTTGAAGAATCCAGTGATATTAATTAAATAATACGCTAATGGGTATAGTAGCGGTAACAGCGCATGATGATGATAATACACGTAATGAAGTCAGACAGGAAAGAATTAAAGATATCTCCGAATTGACATCAGGAATTTTATCGACGTTACGAACAACAATTCTTTCTTCTCTTTCAATGGGAGGTACTTGATGATGGTATTAAACTTCGCCGAGCAGAGTAAATATTCATACATATTTAACATTCGCAGTCGCAACGCTCTCTAAACAGGAAGAATAAACGCTTGTTGACCCCGCCGCATATTCGTTACGAGTTTATTATTTCGCGAAAAAGGCCGTGCGAATGTGATACGCCTTGGACGTCTCGGCTTGTGCGCAAAATCAAATGGCAGCGCTTTTGTTACCTTTGACATTCAAGCTAATTTCGTAACCGAATCATTAGCGACGCACATCCACATATTCATGCGTGTGAAATACTTCAAGGCAGAAACTGCATTATTGTTTGTGCTTTTTTTTTTCTTTTTTCCTCTTTTTTTCTTTTTTCCTCTTTTTACTCAGTTCGCACATTTTACGTTTACAATAATATTCTATTCAATAACCAAGTTAAAAGTAATAAAGCGAAAACGCGTGACGTCATGTTTTGATTCTTTTGTTTTGATTCTTTGGTCTCTCGAGAGTCGCAAATTCCAGATTCCCACTGGTGGGGGAAATTACGAAGTAATAGGAAGGAATAGAAATTTCGAGTTAGTATATGATGGCCGAACGAGTTGCGCGGTGGGGTTTAGCGATGAGTTTGCAGTGGGTTTGAGATTGAATATATAAATCTTTTTTTCTTTTTGCTTTCTTGGAGGTGTCGTTTCCGTTGCACGCACGCTGTTCACGTGCAAAATATTATCTCTTGATATAAGAAATCTTTTCGAACGAATTTTTATTTTGAGTTAATTTTCTTTTACAAATAATTTATTGATTTATATACTATATATATAATAACAGCATACAGCTATAATATTTAAGGAAATAATATTTGCCAACGCATTCATTTCGTGAATTGCCTTTCCAAGTTGTATCGCCAGTTGAGGCGGCGCATACATCAGATGTAATTTATAGAGTGACCGGACTATATCTCGCACTGATAATTGAATCCGCGTGAACACTCGGATTTCACTTGTCGTTCCGCGGTTGCGGAAAATGCGAATGAATTATTTAACCGCGACAAGCGACACGTCACTCCAGCGTACAAATGTGCCGCGCTTCATGTTTTATTCACTGGCCCGTTGCGCATTACGCGATATGAAGCGATAGGAGTCTAGACGCTTAGGGATTGACATTCGCGCGCCGTTTCACAAGGCGGATTATGTTCTGTATATACACAATAGGAAGCCAATATACTGCCAATTATTTGCTACCCGGAACGAAAGAGAGCTAAGTCTCGTCTATAATTTCGCTACAAATCTTTGCATCGATAGTTTTGTATTGAATTCCGACGCTTAAATGTCGATTAAATGATTTAGCCGACATATTTTTAGAAGGAAATTAGTTATCGTTTAATAAAAATTATAAAGATACATAGATATAAATAAAATATGATGAAAATTTCAAGGTAAAATAGCAATGATAAAATTAGAGAGTTAATCAAATGATTAGTTTTACAAATTAGTTTTATAAATTATATTGTTAATTACTTTTATAAGCCTTCAGTTTGAGAGAAGGAAGAGAAGATTGGATATTACGAGTTTTGCTTTAATTGTGTGTGGTCTAGATTGGGTCTCCCAAGAATTTATCTAAGCGACCATACGTCACAGCCACTAAGGTGTCCCGCTGCACTATTTCCGTCGCTTTGGGCGCCGTCGTAAAAAGACGCGTGCACGCGTATTAATAGACTGACCGAGCACGCATCCGCGGTGACATCCGCGCGCACCATCGAAATACAGCCAAAACCGCCGCGCGAATTTGTCTTACGCAATTTCCTTACGACGGAAGACGGTAACACATGTTGCTCCGTGGCGCGAGACAGCGAGGGGGGAAGGAAACGTTGCTCGGGAAATCCGCACTTTCGACTACTTGCGAGTAGTTTCGGGAGGGATTCACATTTTCGAGGGAACTTGTCGACCGCATGCAGACTGTGCAGATGGCAAGATAAATGTTGCGGGTCGCACGAAGTCATTAACGGTGTTTAATTTCGCGCGAGTTTAACGAATTAATCGTCCGCGAAGGAAAATTATTAATGATTAATGGTCTTTCTTTTTTTTTTGTTACAGAATCACGAATATGGCGGATATGGAGATGAACCACGCCGCAAACGGTAAGTTAATACTTTTATTATTTATCCCTACATTTTACTATGTTTGAAAACAATTGCGATAAATTGCACGTGCGCTTCAAATCTATATTATTAATTATTAAAATGAGCTTAAAATGATTAGATCAGTGAATCATTTCCAGCTTTATTCGCTTAAAGCATAGATATCCGTTTAAAATTAGAACAACATTTGTAACAATTAAAGGTCACTGCTTATTTAAAAATTCATTTGATTTGTTTGTGTTGACGGCTCTTATCTTATCACTGCAGAAAATTTATTGATATCATATAAAATATTGTTATATAGGATTATCTGATTAATGATTATCGAAACTCTCTCTGCCGCATCATCTCGATTTCCCCGTGTTATCAATCATGCGCTATCGCGTTCCTTTGGCCTATTAACTTTCGCAATGCGTTTGATTGAACAATAAGCTCTGCCTCAGTGCAATCAATGGCGCCATTCGATCGTCTCATAGATCACTTTGCATAAACAGTCATTGACTTCAATCGCGCGCAGTTCACTCACTCTATCGGTCTCAATAAAGCTGTCGATATTAATACTGCACAATTTTATATATAACTTTTAGAACAATATTTTGCAGATTGAATTTTTTTTTATTTGTCTTATTTTATTCATAATTTATTTAAATTATATTTGCATTTCCCTTTCAGCGGATGAATGATTTGTTATTATTATTATGCAGTTTTGTTTTATTTATGTGCGCGATTCATTTAAGTTAGATTTGCTTTTCACTTCCGATGGAAATGCAAATACGGTCTTTCTTTTAGAAAATACTTCTTTCTTATTTGTACCGGTACGCTATTATATCAACGACGCGCTATTAAGAGAACGCTCGAGCGTGGAATTGTGTGTGTGTGTGTGGATGCCTGATAAGCACCAAGACGCGCGGTATATACATCGAGACGTCGCAAATTAATTAAAGCGACGCAGCCGCCCGTCGAAGTTTGACCCTTCTGCCATCCTATGAGTTCAGGTCTAATAATAAGAAGTTAAGTCGAGCATTAAGCGTGATTCAATACGGCAAGGGCAATCCAATAGCGGATGATATCTGCTTCACGAACTCCACGATAACTTCTTGGTAAAACCGAGTCCGTTAAGTGGTCACAGATGCAGATATCAATGTTAGATAATCGAGAATAAACGAGGGAACAAAGCGGGAGTGAAATGTTAATTTTTGTTTCTTTTCGTTTCATGAGTTCTATGTTAAAAAAAAAAAATCTATGATCTTCATTTCCGTCTCTGAAAGAAAGATACACCTTTTCTGATATTTCAAACGTTGAAATATCAGGCTGCTTTTTGCTGCAAGTATCGTCGAGAAAGAGACGTTGAAATTGAATTCTAGTCGTATTTCCAACTACTTCGAAGTATACTATATAAATAGTGTATTGTATGATAACACGCGAAAACGTGATACAAATAAGCTTCGAGTAACATTGATCGTCGCAAGTGATAATTTAATTCACGTTGATTCTGTACGATTGGATGTTCTTAGCGGTGATACAATCTCACCATTTTTGCCCGAGAAGAAATTACGCCGTTTGATTTTTATGCCAATGATTTGAATGCAAGTCACGAAGAAAGATGTATATATCAATCGTGAAAAATGCATCGCGCGGTGTCCATCACCGCGGCCGGTTGCTTCGCGCTATGCAGCACGTGAGCACGTCAAATCGGGTGGAGATTACTTCGTTTCGCTTTTTCCTCAGCAATGCGGGATATCTATGTTTGACGTAATAATTCTTTCTACCGTGATGCGCACGTGCAATTCACATTCCGCATACCTGAAAAGTAGTTTTGTGTAGAAAATATTTGTACTTTTCAGTTTAAATTATTGGCGATTTTGTGTAAAATACTGCTTTTACTGCTGCTTATATTTATCCGGATATTTTCTCGACTTCAATGTCCGAACAGATATTGAAAATAATTTACGAAAATTATTTAATTAAATAAAATAATTTATGATTGATAATGAAATATTTTCACTCTTTATACGTAAAATATTGTCGATTCTACATTCAAAATGAGCTATAAATTATAAAATATTGAAATTTATAATATTAGAAATAAAATTTCGAATGTAACAAATATCGAGTATATGACCAACATTTCAAACAAATTTAATCCGAGCTCGAAATGTAGATAGATTTTTTTTTAGTGGAAATGACAAAGAGTTCACGGGAATGTTGACCTTTTTCAATCTTCGAAAACGAAGCCGAGATAATATTTCAGCGGATGCAATCAATACGATTTTGCACTGCATCAGCAAGATGTCCTCGCAGAGGAAGAATGAATTATTATTCGCAGCAGTTTTTGCGAACTCGGCGATAATCGAGGCCTCGTTTTCGAGCGGGCTTCCGTAATTGAATTTTCAAATAATTGGAGCGCCTTTAACGAGAACGGATGACGGGCACTCGCGATTTCATCGGTCGCGCATTATGTCTTATTAAGGCAAACTTCAATAAAGTTCTTCGCGCGAAATCATTGGAATAATACGTATCAATTAATGTTTCAGAGAAGACAATAACAAGCCGAATCACGTCCTATTGTTCACAATTATCAATCCAGTTTACCCCATCACTGTGGTAAGTCTTTTCATTTATCAACTAACACTAATATCATCTCGATACGTAGGAAAATACACAAATCATGCACGAAATCTTTGATTCGTATTTTTAATGTGCTCATGTGCGGACAGATAAAATAAGATTATTTCTAGATCACTTTGATTTATTTTTCTATTTGAAACTCAAACATTTTATTAACATTTTCAAGACAATGAAACAAACATTGGCATTTATGACATGTGCTAGTCGTATGAGAAACGCAGGTGTATGAGAAACGTTATACACGTACTGCATTTTTTGTGTTTTTTCTATATTTGCAAACGGGGTGAGTAGTAGTCGGAAAAGTGGCGCAATTCCGCGCGACGCATACTATAACGGGAATTGAAAATATTGAAGCCAAAGCCACAGAGAACAAAAGTTGGCAACACGTCAACCTTGTAGATTTCACAGGCCGTCGCACTGCATTTTATTTCTGTTTTGCGCCAATAATAGATGAGCTTTGAGCTGCTCTCGTCGTCGTTTCTTCCCGTTGTCCGCGGGCGGTCGGGTCGATGTCATTCGACATTGTTCGTGAGCGCGCGCGCGCTAACGCATAGCTATCCGGTCGCACAAAGCTCGTTTTCTTGCGCCTCTGCCGCGATCGAACCACTAATTAAAGAGCCGACTAAAGGCTTCTTGCTCGCGCGATAACCGAAAGTATTAACAATATTGCGCGCTGCTATCAAAGTTGCGCTCAAAGTGTACGGATTGCGGCGCAAATACGCAATGATAATCTTGTTTTATGTTGCGCGACATGTATTGTTTTCAGCAAACACATTTATGTTGTTGCGGTTATTTTTATTAATACGAGCAAATAATTCTCACTATCTTATCGTAAAGACAAAAATAAGAGAGAATGATTATGATCCAATAATCCCTTTAATGTCGCATAATAACATCGTTAAATCTTTTTCTAGTAAAAAAATTAATCCCGGTATTTTTATATCTCGTAGATACAAAGTATCTCTTCCGTTGATCTGTACATGTAATAGTTACAAGAAATACCATGATATTGTTTGCGTTTCTAAAAATGTATGTATGTCACATTAGAATTTATTTATTATGAATAGAATTATTTATTATTATTATTATTATAACGTGTATCCACATGTTTAATAAGTAGCAAAGCAAACTTTCATTTCGCAATTAATGTATGGTAAAAACGAGGCAAAATTTTGCGATGTGTACAAGCACCCGTTAATCTCGAGTGTGTCTAAAACGCGCGACTTCATATTCCATTAAGGGCTCATCTTCTCAATTTAATTAAAAGCTCATCTAGCTAGAGCTTCCTAGAAGGTTTAAGCTCTCAAGCACGCTCTTAGTTCTTTCTCTGCTTTCCCTGCGCTCTCTCTTTCTCTTACACTTCTCTGTCTTTCAGTAACGCAATTATTCATCTAACATTTTACAATTTACCGTCTTGGCATTTACAAATGAATTGTCATCTCCGCTATCCATTAAAATAAATTAATCGCAGCATTTCCGTCATGCGGATTATTTTTTATTTTTTCTTTGCGATGGCCTCTGTATATTTAATCAGTAAATGCGATCGATATTTCATTTTATTCGAAAACATACCGTCGATTCGATTTCCGGCTTTTTTATCCACTATGCAAACATTTATTTAGCGAGAACGTTTCGCGGATATGCGTAACGCTTTGAAAGGATCTGTGAACTCTAGTGAACACATTTAGACAGTTTTGTTATTTAAAAAAAGATGTGGCAAACTTACGAAGTTTTCGGCGTATAATTGATGAAAACTCCGTGCGTCTTACATCAACGCGAAGGTGACAGCCACAGTCGGAAGTAAATAGTTGATTTAAATCCGCCGGTCGATTTTATGTACCGCAAATATTTTCCCAACACATGGTTAGCGTTAACGAACCACGTCAACTTTCGCGAGATGCAAAGCAAATTGAACTTAATATCAAGTTTATTATAGAACTTCCCGGAGAGAAGCGCACGATCTGACGTATATGATCTCCAAACGATCTATATTTGTCATTGTGACGTTTATTAATGCATTACGTTATTGAATTATATCATCCTGTTGGCTCGTGTAGAGGGCGGAGCTGCAACGTAGTAGCGAGTGTAAAAATTATGAATTGTCAATTTTCAGAAGTTTTATTTTTAACTCTCCGAGTTTATTCAGCTTAATGCTGTGCATGATAGAAATTGAAACATAAAATAACATATAAAGTGTGAAATCTTTTAACACGATAAAAAATAATTTAATTATTACTATTTAAATAATGAAAATTTATTGTAATTTGCCTTATATGCAATTATGATACACGAGCTATTCAGTAGGTTTTTCATTGTGATCACAATTACATATATGTACACCTGTTGGTGCAATCTTACTACCATCCGATACCGTCTGAAACCGTAAGACGAAACCGAACCGTCTCACGCTGAAGCTCTCGCCGTTTGCATCCATCATGGAGATGCGACGCTAATTTGGGTTATAGCGATACTAGATACAATATTGCGAGTGCGTCTCCGTGTTACGGTTGCCAATATTTCGCGCCTGAGGCGGCGGTGGTAACGTCGAAATGCACGGAACGACGCTGCTCCTCGTGTCTAGTTTATCGCGACGCACGTGTTGGAAGCAGATAAACGTCAATGCAACTAACGACATATCTCATGAATCGCATTAGAACGTAGGAAGCATATATAAGATTATTCCGAATAACACTTATGAATTTCATTTCCGAACTATTTGATCGAGATGAATTTGATTTTTCCAAGCACGTTTTATTCGCGGTATTATTATCTTCGAAAAGGTATTTTTATTCGCGTATGAAGTTACAATATTTTATATTGACTTAAATTTTTCTAAAAGAAGAAAATAAATATTGAAATATCATACGTATTTGTTAATAAAATTTGTTTTCCGATAAGATAGGGAAAAAAATGCAAAAAATATCTATTGCAGTATATTATGCATGTAAAATTGGAACGGTGGAGAATTTTTTATTCATAGCAGTCATACTTTTTAAAGATAACGCATATCATGCGTGGGTATGCGTAAATACGCCACTGAACGTGAACGGCTCGATAAACAACTCAATATTACATCGCGCCGTGACGCAAAGGTCAGATATTTCGAGATGTTCCATTGAATTGCGCGGGAAGAATCCACGGCTGGACATTGACCTTATAAAATACAAACACTATTGTGCGAAATCGAAATACATGTGCTCAGATGTAATTCAAGAGCGTGGTACTGGCTTTTAAATAACCGTTCCCCGAGTGTACGCAAGGTGCGTGCTGTTCGCGCTGGAATTCGAAACAATGATAATAACGGTGGGAATAAATGTTTGGCGAAATTGTTTCAGTTTATAATAACTCCAACTAGAGAAAGTACAATTTTAATAATTGAATATTATGTGTTAAATGTGCGAATTTATATTTGATTATATTAATCAGAGTGAGTACTTTTTGTGATATTTTTTTCGGAATAATGATAATTACTGTGAGAATAAACGTTTGGCGAAATTGTTTCGGTTTATAATAACTTTGCTAGAGAAAGTATGATTTTAGTAATCGAATATAAATTATGCGTTAAATGCGAATATACATTTGATTATGTTAATGTGAGTTTTCTGTGATTTTTTTCTTGATTAATATATAATCGCAAAATTTGCATTTCAACTACTTAATATGTAGAAAGTGTACATTTTATTGATTACATACGTATGCTTTTATCTATATTGAATATTTGATGTATTATTTTCATCAATTACTTTAGTGACGTTTAGCTGAATAATGTGAATGGTCGATTTCTCAGTTTAAACAATAGGGGGTTTAAATGAAAATCGGCATATATTGAAATAGATTAAACAATTTTACGGTATTTTTACGGTATTTAGAAGAAAAGTTTACGCTTTATAATTGTGTTTATTTATTTTATTTCATTGCCGGATATTGGATTCCGACAAATAGATTGCAGGATCGTTAAATTTACATCTAGCGCAACTGTGCACGCATTCCATGTCGTCTGCGTTGAGTACCGCGCACGCATATATATTCGGTTGCATTTAGCAACTTGTTACATAGAATGTAGAAATAAATTTTCCTACGCTTTGACTTTGGCAATAACACACACACGATGATGTGTGGTGTCTGCTGGATTTAGATTAATGAAGCAGTTATTTCAGGATTTTCTCGATTCCGATCCTATCCGGAATTTGTAACGCGATTTCGACATATGTTTCTGTCTAGTAAACTTGTAAAATTGATACATAGCGATATAAAAAGTTTACATATCATTTTGCGATTTTATATCCTTATAACGCATAAGGATATTTGATTTAATTGAAACAGACAAAACCGTGAACGAATAAATTGATGACAATACTTTAGCAGAATGTTTGGGCGTTCGACGTTGATTCAGAGATGATTAATCGCAATTTACAATATTATTAAGCCACGATGGAATAAACGTAATAGCTTTGCTGGTTTAATTACACATTTTCGGATAAATTGCGGTAAATCGTTCGATATTGCGATATAATATTTAATTACACGGAAAACCACGTGTGTGCCAGGGTGCAGCTTGTCTGAATTAATTTGTGTTCCATTATTATTGTTCCATTTATTTTCGGCCATGAAAGAAAATTGAACGCGAAGGCGATACCCATCTCATAAAAAAGTGCCGTTACCTTGGGGAACAATAAAATTGTCTGGTGACGAAGTATGCTATAAAAAACCAGCGTTGCTTAAATCTTGTTCGACATGTGAAAAACATGACATTTTTATAGCGAACCATCTGGATTTCAAAAACCTATTCCGTTTCTGTTGGGCAAGAGTGAAGAGGGAGACAATTGAACTAGGCGTAGCTGCAAATATTTCGGAACAATCCCGAAAATTTAGTTTTATTTGTTTCAAATTTTTTTGCAAATAAAAAAAGCTTTGGAGGAATTTTTCGAAATTACTTTCCTATAGTTGGACGTCATTTAACAATTTTTTGTGCTTGT